TTGTAATATATTTTATAATATAAAAAAAATACATAAAATGACAAAAGTTTGGTGTATTTATCAAATCATTATCTATTTAAAATGACATTAAAGATGTCATTTTGATATTAAAATGCAAAATGACAAATAACATCAACTTTATAGTTACGTATATTTAAAAAAACAAATGAAATGGTTAATTACACCTTATTAAATTTGAAAACGACTGTACTAAAAGATTTTTATTAGTGAACTGAAGATCGTTTTATTATATCTTGGAAAAATTTATCCATAAAAAATGACATTATTGCTGCGTTCCCGAAGCGCCTCAAAGCTTAAGTCAAAGCTAAAGGTGATCTCTCTCTCTCTCTCTCTCTCTCTCTCTCTCTCTCTCTCTCTCTCTCTCACACACACACACACACACACACACACCGCGCGCGCGCGCGCGCGCATTTTGAATATTATTTTTAATATTTCATAAAATAAACTAACATTCCATGTTTGTTTTTTGTAAATACTACTACTTAGCAAACAAAATGACGTCTTTGACGATATTTGACAATGAAAATGATAACAAATAGTATCAATTTGATTGATAATGATTTGATAAACACAAAATTTTGTAACCAAACTTTTTTTGCCAACCTGTACTTTTTATGAAAATATTATAATTTCCAACTGTTCTGAATTAAATAAAAATAAAATAGATTAGATTAGAAAGATTAGATTATACCAATACAGTTATTAAACTATGAAAATTTTATAATGTACTCGCAAATTTACTATTCGTTTCAGTTCATCAAATATAGGAATAATTAATACAAACATTAATAAGTCTTTTCTAAAGAAAGTCAATAGTAGCCATCTTAACGTCATTTATCAGAGAACGCGCGACCTCTCGGTCATAGTCATGCACTGAATCTCAATTTTTATGACAAAGTCATCCGATAATTCGAATCCATATAAATCTTCCACAAAAAGCGGAATTTCGTAAGAGAGAAACGTGTGGATCGAACTGCTACAAAACAAATTGATTTTTCGCAGCCGGGTACGAAGAGAAGATCGGGAGGGGGAGAGGGGAGGCGGTGTGTTCGCGTTCAATTCAGTATTTCGCAAGCGGAACAGTCGCATGGCATCGCAGAGGCATTTCCATTTCCGTGTAGGATGTGTGTGTGTGTATGCATAAAGCTTGAAAATACTCGCATGCATACGCCTTCACATACGAGTGCAACGAGTGCAACGGCGATTGCTCGTAATTTCATATCGCCTATTTTGGATGGGCGATGCAATACAAACGCGGATATAACGGCCGATTTTCAGATTAAATATTATTAAATTTACGCGAGTGACAACGTAAAAAAATATTTATGGAAATATGTACATTTCGTAGCTTCATAAAAGATATGCGCAACAAGTCTTGTCATTACACTTAAAGACATATATATTATAAAAATTTGTTATCGAATTAACATAAAATATTAGTACATATTAAAAGAAAAGGTAATCGTTAATTATGAAACTAGTCTTAATAAAATCCTTGAAAATCCATGTTTCGCCAGTAGTTTCATTTTCTAACGAGTTGCATGTTATATAAGCTTTTGCGTCCTCAATCTTCAACAATGCGTTTCAATAAGATAAAAGTAACATGAATGACACTGTTCGCAAAAAAGTTAAAAAATTCTATCGCGATTAGGTATATCAATGCGATCGTAATTACCGGTATGCGAGATATGCTGTTATCACGATTCGCACTCAAATATCTGCCGTGCAACGTACAAAAAATTCTGAAACGCGAATTGTAGGGCGAAAAAAAAAAGAAGAAAAAGAAGAAATACGGCGGATACAGGTGACGGACATATTTTTCTCTCCATCGAAAGAGTTCAATAATCTGCCACCTGTTAGGCTTAAAAGTGTCGGATGAGTCGTTAAAGGGGTCCAGCGTTGGAAACCGGCCGCTAAAAAAATAGCCTAGTATATGCAGCGTCCGGGGGGAAAAATAGAGGATACGTGCGATATATTTGCAGGCGAAAAACCGGGGCGGCGCCGTTATTCACCCCGGCGCCGGGCCAGAACGAATCGCTGGAATTTATCGGCGCGATTTTTCGACGAAACGAAAACTGCCCGCTTTATTTCGCACAGTAACAAAGCTCGAAGGCACGCGCGAATTGAATCAAATGGTAATTGAAAAAAAATAGATAGAGGAGGAGAGAGAGAGAGAGAGAGAGAGAGAGAGAGAGAGAGAGAGAGAGAAACAAGCTCTAAGTATCGCACGGTCTTTGAACTCCGTAAATGCCTAAGATTTCTGCAGAAAATTGTTGTAGGAAATTGTAGATCGATTTTTTGTTCCCTTCTTTTTTAATGTGTTTTCTTCTAAAAACTAGGCTTGAAAAAACGCAATAATCTTGCAAATGAAATATCTTTCCAGATGAATGACAGGGTTGTACAAATTCTTCATCCTAAAATTTCACAACTTTTCCCTGTTTTCCAGACAAAATTTCATTAAAAATTTGAAATCATTTTCCTAATTTCCCTGTTTTTTAATTTTCCAATTTTGTGGCAATCTTGAACGAGTTAATCTTTTTTTTAATACAATGTCATGTACCCATTTCTATAATAATTCAACAATTTCCAGTGAAATGTTAGGTGTCCGTCATAAATTTCTCGTTTGTCGCTCACTATTGTTCTCGATTCGCATTTCACATAGGCAGTGAAAACGGAAATAATTTCATTTTTCCGCGGTCTACCGACACAACGACCGGTTTAACGGGTCAAATGAACACATACGACATGCCGCCATGTCAGGAATGAAATTGCCCCGCCGCCGCTCGACGCTGGCTTTCCTGGAATTTTTATCGA